AAAATTCCCACTTTGGACACAGACACTCCCTCCACTGCTAGCAAAAGCATCTAGGAATAGAAGCACAGTTTCAGCTACTATCACTGCTTTCTCTACCACCGTTTGTGTAAAACCTCGTTAGGGCACCTCCCACTGACTGAAATAACACAAAACCAGTCAAAACAAATCACCTTTTATAAGGGGGATTTTTCTACAGGTTAAGTTAGCTAACAGCAGGTTTAGAAGTTTTGTGAAAAACCTGGCTGTTCATGTCAGTCAAGTATCCTAAGGACTGTAAACCAGGAAGATCATAGTGCCGTGACAATTCTGGATAATACCGTCAAATGTACCTATAAAGGAGCCCCTTCTAGAATTCATTTTTAAGTGATTAGGGCAGTTAACAATAATCAAAYTGTCTTCTCTTTTAAACATTATCATCAAGCCAGAAAGAATGAAATTCTGCCAACACCTGAATTGCTGCAGTTCACAACCAAGCATACTAATAAAACCAAACACTCATCTTTTCCCATCTTAGTTCTAGTGACAGCCAATACTAGATGTGAGCTGGCTAAAGCATTATTTTGTAACTAAGTCAGTGCTGCAAAAATCCAAATGTTACTTCAGGTTTCAGTGAAGACAAATATCCCCMAAAATGGCTTCACAGTAGGCTGTGGATTTTGCAAACCATGTTCTGAAAGGCAAAGAGTTTCTTCAATAGTACTAAGCAAATAGCTGAATCTAGAAATATTTCCAACATCACGCCTATTCATTTAATTACTGTTCTTTATTGCATTGGAAGCATGAGACTCTAAAAAGCTGCGCTTTTGTTACAATTCTATTAATGTACACAACTATTAACATAGATAATGGTCTTGCAAATTGAACTATTGTATGCCTGCAGTTTGATTTGCTTAGATTCATTTTTATGCTATAAATATTGAAAAGCATTRAAGTAAAGTTGAACAGTCTGTAAAAACCTTAATTGGAAACTATCACTGCACACAGGAAATCAGACCAAGGAGCAGAGGAGTTCCTTTAATGAAACTATGAAAGTAAGATCACTTACTTAAGATTACTTCTTGTGAAAATCAGAGTCTACAAATCAAGTAACAAGGGGGAGAAATAATTCCTTTCATTCTTATACTGGATATTACAAAACACACATGAAGAATCAATCCAGGAAGTTGTTATAAAACTGTCACTCCCTACCACACCTGCACCTTTTACAATATTTCCTTGCATATCMCTGTTTTCTCAGGTCCTGCAACAGGCATTTGTGCTCTCAGCTCTGACGTGGTACATCCGCTATTAGCACATCAAGACATCAGGATTATTTTTCAACTAATACTTAAAGTTTTGTGATAAACCCATGTGATTCAGTGGTTTCTTCGCTTTATGCACAAAAAAAATTGCACAAGTGTATTTCCTTGCACCAGACTAGACAGCTGATTTCCCCTGTTTTAAGATTCACTATTAATTCATTAGAAGTCATGTACAATAAATGTAATTTGAAAGGTAGTGGAGGAAGTCTTACACTGTTACACCCAAAAAAATGAAAAAGCGAACAATTTAAGAAATTATCATTTATTAAAGACAACGCTAAGAGCATTATTTTAAGGCAGCACATTAAAAGAAATGCAGTTCCAGAAACTGAATTAGACTGACTATAACTAGAACTYACTCTGCTCTACATTAGGATGCAGAAATTTAAATATTACTGTCTACACAGAATAGGCTGCAGCAGCTTCACCCCCATACCATGCAAGTCACTATTCTTATATTGACTTTWGAGATTCACATTCAGCTTTCAAAGGCATAGTGACAAGGTCTGCACATCCAAACCAAGTAACATCAAAAACCCTTGAGGAGGATATGTACCGCTGGAATTTTGGTCCCATTTCCTCATAAACTACAACAAGTTTAGCCAAAGCTACGGRAAGATCTTCACTGGGAGGGTGCTCACAACTGTTCAGGAACTGTGCCCAGATGCACCAGAKCTCTCTACAGTGGTGTCCAACATAGACTAGAGAAGACAAATATAAGGAATTTTCCTGTACTGCTGAGATCCCCGGCAAAACAGCACTGCTGCTGCCAGCTGGATTGTTTGGCCTGTGCCTTTTACTCTGGAGAGCTACTGCCAAGGTGCTGTTCTGAAAACTGTCCCTTATCTCTTTGTAAAATGAGGTTGTAAGTTAGAACCCTCTGCAGCAATAAAGAGCATTCCTTTCACTGGTGTATTTTCTATAAAATGAATTACATTAATCTAGTACAAGTCAAATGGTTTCTTTTGGCTATGCTGCAATAGTAATTTTTGTTCAAAGAGGAAGTAGTTAAAAGAAAGCCAAATAATTTGACAGTAATRTAAGATCACTCCTAAATTCATCCATGAGACAATCTTATTAATAGTTAATAATTTTMATTTTCCCCCAAYACAGAAMTAAATCATTTGACCTGATATTCTGTCCTTTTCTAGAGGCACTAGACTCACACTTCACAGTAAGAAACTTTTCAAATGAGAAGAACTTGACCTTTTCTTTTTTTACCTCTTGACCATCTCTCCTGCCAAGTCTTTTGTACAATGCAAACTTCTCCTTTGTCAACTATATTTTTTCAAAGTGGTATATTTAACACCCYACATGCTACTTTGAACAGAAGTTACTGAAGTTCAGTACTTCACTGCATAAAAAACATCTGTGAGTATAAACAGCATTGGCACAAATATGGGCTGCGAAATACAGTTCTGCATTTGTCCTGTAACACTGATCCTCTCAGTCTTTGCCCCACATATACAGATCCTTTCTGGTGTATGGCAGGATATAACATAATCAAAAGAGTTGAAGTTAATTTGGGAAGTGAAAAGAAATGGAGAAAATCTATTTGTTTCTCTTCTAACAGCACCCATTTTTACCAGCATGACATTATTTTTGAATCAAAGATTGCATCAAGTTGCAATTTGTTACAACACMACACAACCTCCAACGTTTTGCTATCTTCTGTCAGCATAATTTAACTACAYCAGTGATAGTAGTTGAAAAAATGTCTCTGTGAGCAATATTAATGCAGTCATAAAAATAATTCAACTGCTTTTAGAATTATGGAAACTGACCAAGAAATAATTAGTAAAAATTTTTTACACAGCATGCTRTATCAATTAAAACTATTCATTTTCTCTGTCAAATCAAGAATTTACTAAGAAAATGAAACCCAAACTCCTATCTCCAGAGRAGAACAGCACAAGCTGTGACAGAGTTCGGCATCCCCCCTTTACTCAATGAGGGAGCACGCTCTCTTTGCGGTTTTCTTCCACATTTCAAGGAAGTTTGCTTATTCCGTATTTTCCTCCTATTGTTTGTATTCTGAGCTCCAACAGACGGTGTTTACGCTGGGTTCACCTCTGCCGCTGAGCCCTTTACAGCTGGAAGCTCGGGCAGGCCTGTAGCAGYCAGGAAGAGGCAGGCAGGGAAGTTTTGTTGTTGTTGTGCCGGACTGACCCTCTCCCGACAAGACCCGCGGGTCAGAACCGCCCCGAGACGAAGTTCAAGCACCACCGAGCAGGGCCGGGAGCTCGGCCGGTCCCTGCCCGCTCCGGCGCCGGGCCCGGGCCGCCGCTCGCTCCGCAGCCCGCACAGCCCCGTTGCGGCCCAGCCCCGCCGCGCCAGCGCTCCCCACAATGGAGGAGGCGCCCCGGCTGTCATCGCCGCCCGGGCCCGCCCGCAGGTGTCGGGCACCGGCTCCCGCCCTCCCGGGGCGCCCGCCCGGTGTGAGGCACCGCGGGGGACGAGTGGAGAAGGGGGCGAGACCGCTCGGCCCGGCGGCACCCGGGCGGGGGGAAGCAGGGGCGGCGGGACCGCGCTGCCCGGGGCACGGGGGGGCGGCGGCCGCTGATCGCTGAAGAAAGGCGCTGCCCTTCCCCCCTCATGGTCCCCCCCCGCCCCCCCCCCCCCCCCCACTCACCCGCAGGTCCGGCCAGGGACGAAAGGTAAGGCGGGCGGCGGCGAGGGCCGAGCCCAGACAGCAGCGCTGAGGCGACGAGACGGCGACAGTCCCTTGGCAGCTGCCGCGGCAAGGAGCGATCCAGCCGCGCCGCGCGACGACGCCTCTCGGCCGGGCCGGCGCCGCGCACCCGCCGCTGGCGAGGAGGCCCCGGAGTCGGGACCCTCCGGCGGCCCCCGGTGCGTGGCGGCAGCAGCGCCCGCAGCGCCCCCGGCCCGGCCCCGCAGCCCCCCCCGCGCCCGCCCCGCGCCGAGCGCTGCCCGGTCCTGCTCCCCCGCACAAGCTTGGCGGCGTCTGCCGGCCGGGAGCGCCCATTGGCCGCCGCGCCGCGTGACGTCAGGCGCCTTCCCCGCGCCATTGGCCCCGGCTCGTGTGTGTACACACACCGCCCGCCAATCCGCGGGGCCGCGGCCGAGGGGGCGGGGCGGAAGGGCGTGGCCGGCCGGGACCCGGGGCCGCCGCCTTTCCCTCGCGGCGTGCGCCGGCCGCTGTCAGGACGCGGAGCCGCGGGTTCGAGCCCCGCGACGGCTCCGCACGGCCGCACCTGTGCCAGCGGCGCCCAGGTGCTGCCGGGCGGTACAAAGTGTACAAATACACAAGTGTATAAATACGTATAGACCGGTGTTTACACACAGCGTGCGGCGCCGCGCAGGCTGCGGCCGCCGGCCGTGCCGCTTATCTGCGAGGCGCTGGCGGGGCTGCGTCGCGGGATGCAAAGTTCAGCCCCGCCGTAGGCCCGGCGCCGCGGGCGCTGCAGGAACGTCCGGCCGGGCACCGGAGCCGGCGGCAGAACAAGGCCGGGACTGCCTCTGCACCGTGCCCGGGCCCAGCTCCGTGACTTTCCCAGCGAACAAAGGCTCCCGGGCCAACAAAGCGGCGGCGGGGCCGGGGAGCAGCGGCCGCACCCTCGCACCTCTGCTCCCGCCCTGCCRTGATATCCCGTGCGCTGCTCGCAGCCGCGACAAACCCACACACAGCTCGGCGCCTCCCAAAAGCCTAAGAAGTGTTTGCTTTCGACATTTCCTTACCGCTTTAAAAAATTGTTCCAACAAAGCAGGGTTACGTATTCTTACAGAGACCATATCAGTAGAAAGCACTCCTGGGAGGAAAAAAAAATAAAAAAAATTCGGCACTAGTTCCCTTCAAAGTAATGATGTTAAGATTTGTTAAGTCTTTCTCCTTTGCAGCCAGGCACATATCCAAGGCATGCAGTTACTCATTTTTCACATTTCTCTAACACAAATTCAGCTTAATGCCACTGAGCAAGCTGAGCAAAACAAGGTTTATGGGGACACAAACACTATTTGTTTTAGATAATTGCACACCATATATATACTAGGTCAAACACGGTAAACTTCTGTTTTTCTTGCTTTCCAGACAACATAAAATGCTCTAGAAAGYCATATTTGATCCTGTCCCCTTCATTGAAAAGGGAAGGAACATCAAAAACCCAGGTCTTCAGCTATAAAATCAAGTTCCTAAATGTTAGTCTAAGGAAAGTACTAGCAAGCAAGACCTTTATGGTTAATTCAATGGGACAGTTCACAAACGAAAATGCCTGCATGAGCCCAGGAATTTGTGAACTTTGTGGTTTTAGTTCCTTTTCATCCTCTTATTATAAAACACTTCCATGACATGTTACATGACCTTTTATCACTATTTTCAGTGTTATGCAGTCACAAAAGCAATAAAAATATGCAAACAATTGTGTATTCTCTTGGAGACCCCTCTAACAGGTACAGCCACAGCCACTAACATGACACAYGCCCTGACAGAAGTGCAGAAGGCATGCACTGCCTTAAAAAAGGAAGCAAACCAGAAGCAACCAGGTTGGCTGGTTTTTTTTCACTATTATCAGTTACCACAGCTAAACAAATACTTGAACCCAGCCTTGATAAAGACACTTGGGCTTCATATATCTCTTTTGGTTCATTGATTTATTCACCTTTTTGCAAGAAACACTGATGAGCTGAAGTCAGATACTGGAACTGATTATGAGCATGCAAAATAGCCGTTTTAACCACCAAAGAGAGAAATAGAAGGAAGGTCACTACTGTAGTTTGCATATGCTTTCAAAAGCAAATTGCCAACTGTATATATATATATATATATGTATACACACATACAAAATTAAATTTGAAGGTGGTGTAACAATGACCAATTTGCTGATGTCACTGATGTAACATTCTAAACCAATGCAGAGTCTTTCAGAACTGCAGAATGAGGGCTGTATTGAAAGACACCTTCAGTTTTTTAGACATGCTAAGGTGTGGGTTTAGCAGCYACTTCCAGTAACGCCTGCCCTGCAGAAAGCTTTTGTGTCTCCCTTAGAACACCAYCCTGTTCCCCCCCATTCCAGCTAGTCAGATCCCTCAGAGATGCCCCCTCTTCCCCTTTCACACTACATCACTTTTCAATATTTGCTACTTTTAGCACTTTGTTGCCAGCCCACAGCCCTTGCWGTGATAACCTGTGCAAACACTAACCCAAAACAGGCTCCCCTCCASTACCACCCCTTTTCTCGTGCTGAACTTGCCTTGACTCCCTATAAAGCCTTGAACTAACATGCTGCCCAACTTCTGGCTCAGAGCACTGTCATATTCCCCGACTCACCTSCACGACTGCCACAGCTCTTTGTTTCCAGAGGGGCTCACAGCTTCACMCTTTTTGGCTCAGACCAGTAACAAACCTCACAAACTGGCAGGAAATGGCTCTTACCTCTTTCCATAAGGCTTCTCTTCAACTGGTGAGCCCCTTGTGCTGTGCCCTGATCCTGGAAATAGTGGGACTARTTGAAGGATCTTGCTACAGAGATTATGCCAATAGTATTTTGCTTTTTTTACTTTCTCCTGATAGGAAAGCAAGTCTAAATGCTCTTGTTAAAAGCAGATGACAGCAACTGAATTAATTTTACATAAMATTWGCTGTTATAGTARAGTAGAAAATACAGCTTAAAAGAAAACAGTGCTCAAAAATTTTGGTCATGTTCACTACAGAAAGATTTAAATATAGCTGACTTGATTTTTTTTTAGCTATGTAACAAAAATCATACAGCTGCTCAGTATTTTCAACTTTCTAAAGACTGTTTCATCTGCCATTTCTCTTGATATGCAACAATTAATCCAATAGTAGCAAGATCTGTCCAACAATAGAGGGATTATTATGAGGCATTATTTTTCATGTTACATAGGACTATATGTTATGAAAGATACAACTGCCAAACTGATATGACATTATCTRCTCTCAGCACTGTGTGTATCTGTGAAGGCAGAATGCCCAGAGATCATTAATATATCTCAACTGAATTGCCTGATGAGCTGCATTACTGTCCAATCCCAAGTAAAACATTCAGTCTCAACTGAATCTCTTAAAATGAGAGAACTACAAACTAGTTAATATTTGTAATTTTGTATTGTTACCTTTACTATCAAACTTAGCTGACAGAAATTGYAAAATTGCATATACTTGAGACAAAAAAATTAAATACGAGTAAGAAGGGCATCAGTAAAAGCTGTCATATTTTAAACAGATGTTAGTATGAGTGGGATTCTAAAATGGTCTTAATGCCCTTCTGTGCAACAAATATTGAGACAGCACAGCACCTGTAAAAGTGTATCTAAAGCTTATTTCAACTCCATTATCAATTAACAGGTACCATTTCGAGATATCATCACATTAAATATTTCCTGTGAAGATAAAATCAATTTTTTCTTGTAAAAGAAAAGCAAAAGAGGCTTTTATCAGTAACTAAATTTCTTCAAAATGTCTATTAGTCTGTTTACTCTTTGTGCAACTTTGTGTCATGAGCTGTGGCAAATGCTCCGCTCTCCAAAKGCTGCTCCATCCTGGGAGACTTTCAGGCACCCCGTTTGTTTCAGAAACTTATTCCCTACTTTGAACCTCTCCACAAGAGAACTCACAACTCTGCAGGCCATTTGAAGGGCTCAGCTGGCAAATATACCAAAGCCTTTTTGCATCCTTAATTTACAGTGAAGTTTCTCTCCTGTAGATGAAGTGAAACAGGTTAAATTCCTGCTTCAAATTAAACATTAAGTGACAGTGGTAAAATGGTTATCCAGAATAGGTCCTCTAGGACACTACCTGGAGCAAAAGGACTGTATAATGTCTTGSCTATCTTCTATCTCTGTGCCATTGCCAGGGTGAAAAGCACCATCACATAAAGGTGCAGTATCAGGCACATGGTGCTGAGTTACCTTCAGCAAAGTGATTTGAACAGAATCAGGTTCAGCTCCTATGAGAGCTCCATCTGGGAGCACTGCAACACTGCCTGCTCCAGCCAGCAAAACCTCCTATCAAGTGAACCTAAGGCAAGAAGCCTTCATCAAAAGGGCAATAGGTGGACATTATACCCAGGCAGATGATGAAACKGAACTTTCTCAGTGAGAAAAAGTGACTGAGGCACAAACTTCTGCCCAAAATGCCAGACTGAAAGCTTTTCTGCTCGTCCTTGGAAAAATCTTCTTACTAATGAGCATTTTTTTTAGCAGTGATGACAGAAAAATCTCAAGTTGAATACAGGTATAAAGCAAAGCAATTGTTTCCTATATCCTGTAACTGCAGGATCTTACCTTACAATAGGAGGGGGAGTGGAGGGAATCTCATCGAGGGACTTGGAGTCTTGGCCCTACAGCCTAGTATATTACTACAAATCAGCAGACCTGCTTCTGCACTTCATTTAAGGATTCACATTGAAGAAGGTTCAGGAGAATTGGAAGGATATCCAGAGGAAAAGAAGTTGCCAAGATGTAGCACAGGTTGAAGGGCAGAATGTAACAGAAGAACAAGAAAAAATGCAGGTTTTTTTGTTGTTTTTTTTTTACCAAGGCTGACAAGTAAATGAGATGGAGTCTGAACACAGCTAGAGTAGGTGCTCCACCTCAGAGTATGTGATTAAAGAAAATTGAAGAAATGGTGCATGATTTGACCTTCTGTGTTTCAGCATGAGAAAAAGTGAATTATAGTTCTTCAGCCGTCTTTCAATGATGTTAAATTTATAAACATTTCTTGTCTCCAATGTCTGTGGAATACAAATCACCCACAGYTTGAACTTGATATTATTCTGAAATTATAATGTTTAATCATTTTACATTTTGGAAGCTGATTTACAYGTAATCCTGAGAAAATTACAATAGTTTAATATTAGTAATAAGCAAATATATAAGAATAACTAACTACACATTTATTCAATTATAATTTATTTGTTTAAAAAATACAAAAGTAATTTATAGCTTCAAAAATAGACTTTTTACTCCCTTTTAGATAATAATAATAATAGGATATAAGAATGGCCTTGAAAAACTAATAGAACAGAYTTTTACAAGTTATACAGCATACCTGGAACAAGTTTCAATGTATCTGTGCTGGCCACACCAGATAAGATTGCTTTTGGTCTTTATAATTGTTTTTTTTTTTTAATTGAGCTGCAAGCTAGTTACAAAGTATCAGCTACAAAAATCCTGGATTTTTTAAATGGAGTGTTGAAAGCCTATTTACTTTTGTATTTCATCTTAATCTAGTGGAGAAAAAATGTGATCACAGCGCTTACCATCAACCAAAAGGTGGCAACAGGCTACTACCAAAAGATGTCTTTGTATGCAACTGAGATCATCACAACCCACCCCCAACAATCATTTTATSTTTCTTAGCAATGCCTAGGGGAGTAAATGTGCCTTTTACCCTTCCTTGATGATTAACATACCAGAGATTTTAAAGATCCGAAGGGAGGAGAGTTCCTCAGTAGAAAASCCATCAGAGTTAAAAGAGCTCATGTGCAGTACATGGTAGGATTTGAGCAGCTGGGCCACCCAAAGGAGGTCACTGAAGGGACACAAATGCTGCAGCTGGACCACAGCTGCCACAGGGATGATGGGAAGGTTCATTACAGTATGCTATGTAATCCAGCAGCAGGGGGGTAACTGAAATACCACACAACTTATAACAACATCACAAATTTCAGTTACGGTTTTTTACTGTTCTGTAAATGTCAAGATGTTATAAAACATGAATTAAACAGTCTCAATTCTTCTAAAATTAAAATGCCAGTTTCTACCAGTGCAGAGAGTGTTTCATTGCTTGTAGCCAGGCATCCATAGCCGGTCTGTATTCCTCTGAATCCTTTTGGGGCTCAAATACTGCTTCTATTCGCCTTAAGTTCTTTAGTTGTTCTTTGTCAGTCCAAAATCCTATAAACAGAAAATTAATTCTCCAGCTCAAGTGCAAATATCTTGAGTTGTTTTAATCTATTTCCAAGAGATCCAAAGCAGAAACACAGTAAGAAATCATGACAGCTTTTCTTTACCAAAAACTTTCTCAGAGGGAAGCATATTTTTAACATTGTGAAAATCCTTTCCAATAGGATCCACTTGTTTGGAATCCTGACAACAGCGCATCTGCTTAACTGGGATGGTTTCCAAGGAACAGCTCTGGTATGATGAAGTTCCCTTAGGTTTCATCTACAAAGTGCTTTTGGTTGCAGGTCCTTCTGAATGAAGGAGGGCCACAGAAACCAAGAATTAGCTGCTTTCCTATTGTCTTAAAAAACCATATCAATGGCAAGAAACAGCTGGTGTTACAAATTCCTATTAATTCATGTTATTAAATCATTCTTGTCTGTCAAGGGTCTCAGCTTTCTTGCACTTTTAATAGCTGAATAAGTCATACCCAAGCACATAGTTTTTACCTTCATTTGTGTTATTTACATATCAAAGCACTTTAACAAAAACATGTTTTGTAGGTGCACATTGAGCAAAACCATCAATAGTTCATAGCTTTAAGTCTGATTAACAATATGAAACAATTCTGTGTGAGTACAGCTGTTTTTCCTGTTAGTAATTTATTTTGTACTTCCATTCTTGTGAGAGCCTTAAAGGATAAAGGCTGGATTTACAGAGCACAGGACACAGCTTGAGCAGGAATGACAGGGCTGCAGGTGAGCACAGTGACTCCCYTGCCACATGATCCATCCCCAGCCAGCACCACTCAGGCAGCACCAGCATGGGAATGGACATGGAGTGTCTGGGTCAAGGAAGAGGAGGCAGCAAAGACAGGGCACCTTTCTTCTTTAGTAATATATCCTTTTAATTGTACTGTACAGAGAAACAGAAACACTATTGACCTCCCACAAAAACGGCAAACAGAATCCTTTGGGAGGGTTTTACAATTATTTGAAGTTATRCCCTTTTTTTGTCTGATCTTTTTTCTACTGTGTTTATAACATGCATTATAAAGGGGGAAAAAAAGCCTTTTTAATGGCTACGTACCTGAAGCAAGGCCTGCTAGAAAAGCTGCACCAAGACTAGACATGTCTGCATTTGCAGGTTTTTCTATTTTCTTATTAATTAAATCTGATGTCATCTGCATGACAAAATCATTATTACTGACACCTCCATCAGCTCTATAGGGAGAAGGGAAGAAGTAGTTAAAAATGTTTTAATTCACGTGCTTATTGCCAACATTTAGGAAAACAACTTTTAGTGTTTCACACTCATGCATGCATCTTTCTGTAACTCATGCATTTCCACTATATGGGTAAATTTAGAGGCCAGAAGAAGGTGCCAAAAAAAAGTTTATAAACTGGTGGAGGAATGGTAGAGAGATAGGGACTCAAAACACTAGCAAAAGCTCTGAAGGCTGTATCTTTTAAAACTATATATCATCTTGGCTGAAATGTTAGGGTTTATAACAGAACCTTTAGATAGTTACCAACACAATACAACAACAATCAAAACCATTATGCTAAACCTACCCTTTCAGGTGTTYTCATATCTGGAAAAGTATCTTTTTCCTTACTACCAAATCTTTGTATTAGTTAGTTAAAATGCCTTCACAGTTGCTTCTTTTTAAGAGGATGTTYAAAATGAGGCTTCCATCTGTCTATTTTCCTAACTGGAGACTAATTTAATGAAGAAAACTAGAGCTCATTGATGCCAGTCTTTAATCATCTGAGAGTACAAATAATCACTCTTGCAAACAAAAATCACTATTAAAAAAGCAATCTTTGAAATGKCATAGATTGGTTCGTTATGCTCTTGTACTCCAACACCACCCATGTATGGAGCTGTCACTCTATCAAATATGGTGTAGAGAAAACATCTAGTGTTTCTTGCTCCAGAAAGTGTTGGGTAATAAAACTCATTCAGTCATGATGACTGAAGCTGAGGTTTCCTTTCCTGGACTTTCCTTGATGGTGTTGAAACAAGCAAGGAGAAGTAATAGGAATCTAGAGGACTAATGAAAACAATGACCAGAGACCAGGGAGGAACAAGGAATACAGGACAACAGCTAAAAAAGAATTGAATTAATATACCGGATAAAAACAACAATGAAAAATCAAAGGTAATTGCCAGATGCAAAAGATATGTGGACATTAGGATGGTTGAGCAGTTTGCAACTCACTGAGAACCTCATTGAGTGTGTCTTGTTATCCTTTAACGTTTAATCCACAAGCTAAATTGCTACTGATGCTAATTAACGATTACAGTCACTATATAAAACTGTAGTTTTATATCCATGAATAAAAACGGAACATGATCATACAACTTAAAGTTTACACTGCAATGTAAATGRAATCAGAATGCTAATGCTCCCTAAGCTGTATTTCCACACTTCTCATTTTTCAGTTTGTATTCTTAATGTGACTTCTCAAATTTTGGATGAAATTTTCTATGTAAAAAAGATTCCTAAGTAATCAAAGTTCTGATACTTTTTGTCTTCTCCTCTTCATTAAACCCTCAACCTGGCTGCTTTTTCACCTTTGCCTACTCTCTCCCAATATGTGATGCAAAGCAGGAACTTTTACCTCTTCCCACTTTGTACTCTCACTTTTCTTCCACTGAGTGTCTGATTTCTGTCCACATGCCTGCCAGTCTGTTCTTCCTTTGCAGAGGCACAGAAGCGATGGTAACATTCGCCTCTGCTCCTGACCGCAGTGCCATGCTGACCCCTGGCTGCTCGAAGGAGGAATTTTGTTGCAGAGCWTTCTGAGCCTCAGAGGGCTGGAGGAGACTCTGACAAATGGTGTGTTCAAAGAAAATCCCTACCAAAATGTGCTCTTCCAGCAATGTTTCATTCAGCTAAATTTTCCSCAAACATTGTGAAAGCATATTCTAGAGATTATTGTTACATGACCAAATTTGATATGCTTCTTCATGTCTTAAGTTGTAAAACTACTCTTCCCTCACTCCCTCACAAATAGAATGTTTTAACTGATGTCTTCAAAAAGTAGTCTGTGAAAGACCCAGCACAGAAAATGTCAGTATGAAAGGATGACCTTTGTGGTAGGCATTGCTATATGCACTCTAGTGCTACCTGAAAACATGGATTTGCCTTCTTTTTAGTTATTGTCTTAATAATTACAGCAATTCATTCCTCACCTACTAACAATCACCAATGCCAATAGCTGGGGKTAGACTCTATTGCTGCTTAAAAGACATTAACATTCCACTTGGAAATCATCTAATTCAGCAGAACTTTTACAGTAAGATAAAATGCGTAATAAAGCTCACACCCATTTAAAATCAAGCACTCATATATCAAATTTAARAGTTACAGGAACTTACCGAATAGTTTGAAGAGGAATGTGCACCTTCTTCACAATGATATCATAAAGCCGTTTGTTTCTTTAAAAAATATTTAGTTGAATTAAGCATATATTCCATAAAGKGTTTTCAGTATCTACATAGTCAGAAAATAAATGCAAGGCAAGAAAAGCCTCAGTTCTGCCAGAACTGCTGCAATAGCTAAAAAGTTTCTAGAATGCATAAATAAAACCCCCACACCCACTGACAGTGGTCTTTGGTCTTTGTTGCAAAGGCACAAGTATGCTAAATCATGGCAAGTCACTGTAGAAGGTTCATTTTCCCCACTGAAAGTTACTGGTAGGTTTTTACAGACAAAATTACTGATGTAACAAGTGGTTAAGAGTAAGGAAAGTAGGCCAATGGAGTGCTAATTGGAGTTTACCAAGCTATTCTTTAAGGGCAGTATCTGAAGGCTTCAAGTTAGACTTTTTCCTGGAACCATTTCATTTAATGGAAGAAAATCTAAACACAAGGGATCTCTACTTTTTCCTAGTTATCTGTATGCAGTACTTGAATGACATGATATTCTTAACATCCCCCTAACATCCTTTTCAAGAGATCCATGTGTCAGTTCAGGAATTACTGCATCTCATGTTCATGCTTACAGTTCAGAAGTAAAATGCATCAGAAACCAGTTGCAGCAATTGAGAATGCTGCCCTCCTCCAGACATCCTTTCTGGGCTCTTTGCAGGAGATTTTTATGCCCAAAGCAAAGCCTTTGACTACACGGGAGCAATCACATCAGTGCTCCCTAACTGGTCACAGTGCAGCATGAACCAGGTTCAATCTGTACTCAGCTCCAGTTTGAGGCATGTGAGGGGGGTTGGCAAGGCAGAGACAGCCTGTTCCACAGTGAGCTACTGATGTGACCAGCAGTGATATCTTTAACCTTCACAGATCTGGAGGCTGCTCTCCATTCACATCTTTAAAGATGTTTAAGAGGTCTGTTACTTTGTTTTACAAAACATGAAMATTTCAAATTTTAAACAAGAGCTGATATAAAACATCTAGCTTCAGGGATACTTTAAACACAGCTGGAGAGGGCTACAGCTTCTGACAAAATACTGTCAGGAGAGCAAGGACAAGCTCTAAACAGAAAACACTTTTAGCACATGCAGAAAACAATATAATTTTGTTGCTTAAGGACAAAAACTCTAAACTAACAAGTATACACAAGTTTATTTGTAAAGGGTTAAAAAAATAAAGAAAGAAGCAGCTAAAACTCCTTTCCAGTGTAACAATGGTGTATTTTACAAACTGCAGAAGTCCGTGTATCCATTAAACACTGCTGATCTAAATAAAAACAAACATAAGAAAGTATAAGCCAGATAATTTAGCAAACAGTACCTGAAAGCTACAGATTCCAGTATAGCTCGAACAAGATGGTTYCTGTTAGTGGAAGGTTTCAGCCCCATGAAAGAGGCACATAAATATGGGTCATCCCCAGAAACCTACAGAAAAGATATCACCATSAGTTCAGTGAATTGTATGTGTAGGCTTTTGAGAAAGAAATTGAAGAGTAAGAAAAAAAATAACTTACGACAATTACAGGCAGCATAATGAAAGAAGAAAATTGAAAACAATATGTAAGAGGTATATAGTGTCATTTTAGCTAACTCAGTGAACTGTTTAWATTGTTTCTTTCAAGTTTAAGTGACTTCTTCCAAATCAGACAAACTAAAAAAGACTAATCTACACWATTTCCCTTTAAAATACATTTAAAGAGTACATATTAAGTGTCTARGACAGCACATACTGATAATACTAATATTGCTGGTCTCTAACGATTTCACACAAGCCCCCTACTGAACTACTGAAACAAAGATGAATTTAAAAGTGTACTGAAAAGGACAGTAATACTTTTTATYGGTGTATACTACAGCCTGTTATCAGTGACACTGATAGGTATCTGGTATAAAGGTAGTTGGGCTATCTGGTGAAGAAATTAAATTCTTCTTTGCTCTGTTCCATTAGCATGCAGAACTTACACAAAGGTAAGGTTAAAGATATTAAATTCCCTCAGAAAAAACCACTAGTCCTGGGAATGATAAAACTGAGTATGGTAGACAAATGAAGATTTAAAAAACCTCAAACTTTTAGAAACACACTGAGAGATGAGCTGGTACACTTGAAACCAAACAATTACTAAGACTCATAAGTGAGTCTATTACACTGAGTTTGATCATTCCCAGAAGTCCTTCATTTTTTGTAACACCAGGACTTGGAATCTTACTCATGCTTAGGTACTTTTAAATATTCTGATAAATTACAACCTATATCTTGAAAAAAATGCAGAATAAAATTTATTATTTTACAACAGTGTTTAGAAGCACTGTCTCAATGAAAGCTCTCCACCTCATAGCAGAAAASCTATGACATTTGTTTGTGTCTCTGCAGGAACTGCCTGTGTTACTGGGCGCAAATAATTTAGTTTATCTGTCCTCCACTAATTTCCCTACTTGGTAGTGTTTTTCTCAAGGGGGAGATGGCATTTAACCAATCTGATATGACAATGGTCTTCATATATCATGATGAGCAACAGATAATAAGAGCCTCAGCAGTACAGAATCAATACTGTGATAAGATGTAAATTATTACCTTAAAAATTAATTAGGTTATTAAAATATATTCTTAATTATACTATTAATAAAAATTTTACCTGAAAACCTGGAATGAAACAAACACCTTGAGAATCAGCAACACTCTGTGCCATTTTTGCTGTTTCATTTACATTGGTGAAAAGTTCTGTAAAGATACATAGTTATAATTTCCTTCAATTTCTTCAATTWGTTTCACTAAGAGACAAAAATCTGGAGTCAGACTACTTCCTTTATAATATTTTTAAACTACATGTTCTAAGGGAAACAATCACATCTTCACATCCTGGAAAAGCTCATTAGCCTTCCAAAACCAGGAACTAAGAATGATAWTGGCACCCTAACAATGCTAAAAGCTTAGATTCATAAAACATATCTTTTTCCCCACAAAGTTGTTGTTACTGTCAACCCAACCACCAAATGACAACAGAAAAARTCCTCAATACCTGTATTTTACCAGCACCTGTAGCATCTTTACAARTGACTGGCACATAAAAAAGGTAATCACCTCTTGTCACAATTATGCCTCTTGGATAGACACTACTTTTATTCTCTGTGTCTCCTTTCATAAYTGTACAGACATTCCTCTTTAGCTTGCTCTTCCCCCACATGCAAGCCTTGTATGAACATCCACCTCCCACAGTTGTAACAAACAATGCCCTTATGTGGCCACATAACATGATTTTACAGAAGACTAAAGGTCTTCTGCACGTGACAGCTATTGCTTTTTMTTGTCTAAAATAGTGAATTCTAAAAAAAAAGATAAATTAGGTTAATCTAGCTCACCTTTGGAAAACCCATCTTGGTAACTTATCACGAGTTTCAATTTACCTTTGTAACCTTCCTGAATTTGTGTGAAAGCTGGATTTTGCTGTGCTCAGATTAATGAACATAAATCACATATTTTCCTTCTTGTTGTCTTTGCTATTACTGAATTATACATACAGCACCTCTACGCCAGGACAGAAAGTCAAAAATTAAGACTGACTTCATGTTGAAATTCCACATACTGCTTCCTCAAAATTCTTAGAAGTTATATAATCCCACTAAAGGAAGGTCACTAAACTAACCTTGCCTTGCTGCAGAAATTACTATTTCCAAACTTTTACCACTGTTATGTCTCATCTTCATTCACCCTGAGTCTCACCACCCCTATTGATGCCATTAGCTTACCTTATGTTTTAGCTTAATTCATTTTGTAGAGCTAAAGATTTTCCACTCTCTAAAGCTGAAGAAAGTTTCTGAATTCTGCTTTTCTGCAATAATGTTTTCAGAAAACAAAGGCCTTACTTGTTACAGAGTTTAAAGCAGCTTGCCTTTTATTTATCCCATTTCTAAAACTTCTCTCCCCCCTCTTCTGTGGCAGCAACTGTAAGTCATGACCATTTTTTTACTGACTAGCTAAAACTCCTATATACTTCTGCACATACCAATGGTATCCATTTTAAGTACTGGTAAGTTCAATATAGATAACTATCCATTTTAATAATGGAATCCGAAGTAGCAAGCTTATATACGTACCACCAACACTTGAGTCTGAAGCACTGAACTGTGTATTGAATTCAKTAATTTCCTGCAAAGCCTGGTGGCTGTTACTCTGCAGGCTTAGGCAAATGTTGGATGATGAAGATGTGAGGACCAATCTGAGTCGTACTTAACCCTTGGGTGGCCATACCAGAGCACATCTATGTACATATGCACTTAAAGCAACTGACACCTCTGACAACTTCAAGAAACGGGGAATTTTGTGGTGAGCTGTACTTGAGGAAAACCTTTCCCAGATAATCCAGAATTTGAGCTGCTAATCCCTTTTTTCTCATCCTAGTAAAAATGYACTAAATTTCTAAGCAAGCCAAGTAAATGTCTAAGTTCTTATTAGAACACTGAGAACAGTTGTCCTATAAACAATCAGTGGGATTGAACATCAACTACAGTGGTAGTATGTTCTTAGTCAATAAACTGGAATGCAAAACATTTCATTACAAAATAACAACAGTCAAAAGGCACATTACTTCCATGAGAAGCAATATACTGTTACTTGAAAGGTTCTTCATGTTATTTTCATATAAATCGAACATTCTATTTGTTTTGAGATGTATTGCTCAAGACCTCTCAAAAGCATTACAGCAAGTGCTTGTGGAATCAGGAGRTTTGTCATGCTCAGGAGAAAGCAAGTGAGGAGTAAAATGTGTCAGGAAAATGAAAACCCAGTCAGGCAGGAGGGTCTGAGGCAAAGAAGAGGACATAATTGTGCAAATGAAACTCCCTGCAGCAAACACACTCGGCAGAGCACCCACTAACAAGACTGTGCATTTCTGCTCTCCAAATCACACAGAATAGTTCCTTCAATTATGAATAATAACATCAAATCCAGCAACATAACTATGAATCCATAAAACAGCTTCTTAAGCACTTATATATTTTACTCTCTATAAAATTAAAGAACGTACCTATRTCCTGAGCCCACTTTATGGCAGTGCCAATGTCCGATATAGAGCCTTCAGTTAAGTAAACAACTTCTTCCCCAATCTTCCAACCAATCAGTGGATAAAGACCTTAATTATTTTCCATTAAACAAAACACTTAGTTAWAYGTTTCCAGAAAAAAACRTATATTAGCATTACCCACAATAAACCCAGMTAAAAAGAAATAAACTTAATTCAATTCCTCTGTAGAATTCAAGCTAAAAAAAAGGCCACTGATAGAGGTTAAATGTGTTGTTCAAAAATTTAGAGTTGGGATTACAAGAGAATTGAGCAACATGTTATTAGACCAAAGTTAACCTAAAAAATKGCTATCAAATCACATGGCCTTCCTAAAGATGCTCACACCAGAGTCTCCAGTAGTGTAAAATAATCCTATCTCTRGGGAATGGATCTGTGTGACACTTGGCATGACCAGAGGCACTAAAAACCCTCAGATTGCCAGAGATAGCTTTTAAATCTATCCAACACGATTCCAYCACTGAATTGTGAAAAGTGCTGCTCTAGAAGGAATTACTTGATTTTTCTTTTTTGAACTGTTGTATGGAGGACCTAAATGTAGACCAGAAACTAAAACAGCAGCTAATGAACAGCTTGCACAAGGATGCTGYAAGGGTTCATTTTGCAGTCTTAAATACATATGTCAGTTTTAAAGATTGAAYACTTCACATTTCATGCCCAGGGCACTGAGAAAGCCAGGTATGTAACTTGTCCCTCTTAACCATACCCCAYGACAGCCAAAGAACATAGGGAAAATAATTTTAACATAGGTAACAGCCTAAAGTAGGAAAAGTTTCACAGCACTRCCTTAGAAGATTTTAACTCCTATTAGAACACAACAGCTAAACYGAAAAACCTTACAGCATGTTTTTTGTGACTACATTTTAGCAGATTACATACATATGATTTCCTAAGTAAAAATATCATCACAATGACATAATTAATTAGAACAAAAAGCATTTGTATTYATAAGGAATTCAGTGTCTGTGCTATTCAGTTCTGATACATCTCATGCATTTGCCAAAGTCCTTCAAGACTTGAGCTAGTAAAATTCTCATCTGTACACTGCTGTGCTCCTTCCCAGCCCCACTCCATTTTAAGTCACAGCTATTTGTCAACAGGGCAACACTGAAGATGATACTGATGTCAATTTGCCTACACAGACACTCTCTGTATGTAATATTCTTAAAGAGTCACTAATTTCAGGAAATTATCTCTGACACATTAACAAGCTTGAAAGATCACCGATACCCAGAAGGACAAAGTTTTAAACACTCAAAACACATTGTGGAGCCCATTTCTAGTGTTTTAAAAGAAAATTAATAACTTCTAATCCTGCAATTTCTCATTGCAGYTGCTTCAGGGCATAAGGGCTCAAGGGGAGGAACTTGCAATGATCCACTGCAACATTTTGATGTGAGAAGCCAGAGGACCAATCCCTTTTTTCTCCACTCCTGTACTGTATAATACTGSTATCAAGAACAGGTGAAGTAAAAAACAAAACAGGAGGGATAGAGGCAGCAGATATAATTACTAATGATGCTACTTAAGTTCTCTTCTTGAGAAGCTTACTTCAGGATAACCAAAATTTACATTCCTAATTAAAATTTTCCAGTTTTGTCTTCTGAAAGAACTCCCAAGCTGTTTTTCTACACCTATAGACAAAAAGGAAAAAGCACAGTCCYGTTTTATTCCTTTGTGTACCCTCAGCATTAACAGTTATCAAGGAACAGCTGAAAAAATCAAATCCTCTAAAACCAAAATTTCACTGTCTTACTTCCCCGTGATGCAAAGAGATGCTCTCCAGTATTCACATTCCAGAAACCACCTGTTCCCATTGTCAGTTTAACATCTCCTGGGTGAAAGCAGCATTCTCCAAACATWGCTGACTGCTGATCAGCTACCTGTCAATCAACAAAAACAAGAGGATAAGTTAGCTATCGACCTGCAATGCTGTTGGGTTTGAAAACATTGTAAACACTCTGAATACAAGAAACCACTCAGAAAAGAACTGAGCACTCAGAGAGGATTCATGAACAATTTCTTAAGTATTTGCAGTATTTGCAGGCCATTACAACAGTCAGACTTATCACTGGTATCAAATTACACCAGGTTTGGACACAATGTGTATGTCTGTAGTACWGCTTGCAACGCTGAAAAACATTATGGAAACAAAAGAAGTATTTTGTGGTTTAATATTTAACAAGGATAAATGGGGCATTCGAAGTCCCAGGGAGCAGAACAGAGTAGYTTGGCCTGAATTCCTTCTCCAAATAGAAAGCTGAAGTCTTGAGATCTTGCCTTTCTTTATCCTTGATACCCCTCCTGTACCAAACTATTCCATGCTCCATTTTTCAATGATGATGGTTATTAAATGCATTTACTTATGTATTTACGTATGTTTTTGTCTTGATGAAACAGTACATTTATGGGTAGATTTTGTCCCCAGTTCTTTAAAAAGACAGAAATTCATGTTAGCTGGGGGACARTTTTTTCATCTAGCTCAATTCAAGCAGATTTCATTTCAAGTCATCACTTTAGGTTTTCTTATCCAAATTCTAACTACAGAGGAAAGAACATGTTAATTAYTTCTTATTTTTAGTGAAAAATAAAAAAGAGATAAAAAATAGCACAAGTGGATCTATTAACAAATACTCTTAACAGTTGTTCAGTCAAGTCAGAATGACTGTTGCAGAACTTTATTATGAACAACTGACTTTGAGCCAGACACACACGTTATCAGAACTKAGAGTCCTAGGCTCAGTACTCAATMGTTCAGYCCTKAATAGACCTACAYTTGTAGAAATTCCTTCCTGTTCCTTTCTCCTCCTTTCTCYCTAGGGTTTTAAACTGGATTTTTACAGAAAAAGTCAATAGCCAATTCTACCATAGTTAAGTCCTAGAGAATGAATAGAAAATACTTAAGAAACAATCAAGTACTAAATCAAATACAGATAAGTGGGGTATAAACACATAGGTGTAAGAAAATATTTTCACTCACCACTGACATTATTGGAATAGGTACACCGAATATTTCAGAGTCAGTTGATCCAAAGTTGAAGCTTAAAACAAATCACATTAAAATGACCTTTTTGTTAAAATGAAATCGAGGTACATAAAGTCTGGATCTGGATCACAGATAAAAGGTAATGCTACTGATGCTACTGATTTATTTTAAAGAAAGCATTAAAACTACCACTTTAAGAAACACAATAAAAATGTTTTGGTCTTGTCTACTTTCCCAATACTTTATTTAAGGTATARCTACATATAAAAATATTTTTTTGTGCACCTGTGTATTATTTGGCCTGTGCAGAGYATGTAGTATTTATTACTCAGAATTAATTTAGCAATTAATTTAACAATTATAATATTTCTTAAATTATGCCTTCATAGTTACCTTGTGTCTTTCACTGGTGGAAAAACAGACATCGGAATAGAAAGCAGATTACACAAAGTGGAACTCCAACATTTCTGAAATGAAATGGAAAAAGTRAAAACATCAGCAACACTCTGAGAAGCATAATAAATAGCAACAACTTTTTTTAGGAACAGCACGTACCGTAAAGGGTTCAAAAATGCCTGTAGAACTGGCATTTGAGTAATCTGTGGCATACACAGAACCTACCATGAAGAAARCAGAACAAAGTAAGATTTTCAGACATCCAAATATTTAAGAGTTTCCTTTAAACATCTTGTTGGAATTTTTTAGATTCCAGCATATTTTACTAATATTTAAGATGGACTGTAGTGCTCACCTTTAGTCAATCTATACAGTAACCATGTGTCAACTGTTCCAAAGCAGCAATTGTTTCTTCTGGCAGCTTCTTCCGCCTGAGAAAAAATATACACCAAAAAAAAAGTATTTACAACTGGGTACAATGAAGAGAAACATATTTCTTGATTGCTTTTATCATTTTCTTAATGGTTAATGAGAATATCCTGATTGTAAACTTTTCTTCTAAGAAAGCTGAATTGGCTATTTAACTAATATTACCGTACAAGTTCATGCTCCTAACAGAAAATAAGAACACCTTCTTACAGCTAAGGAAAAGAAAAGCAATTAACCTTCTACTGTAGGGGCATCACAGCCTTATGATGTGATGATCACAGTCACAATTACAACAGTGGTGAGAGTGTGGTGGATAGAGAAAACAAGGTCCTGCATGGTGAGGATCAGAGCAATGAATATAGCAACAAATAGCTCAGGGCTCATTAATGCACTACATTAATCCAGCACAACTTATTCTACATGCATTTTCCAATTCACAAAATTCAAAAYGAATTGTCCAGTATGGTATTATTTGTGAAACTGCAAAACACTGGAATAATGCAGAGTGGAAAGATAAGAGTGTCCATTGAAAATAACTAAAACCATCATGCAAAACCAGAGTGCAAAACAGCTTTGAAACAAAGAACAATCACTAATTGTASCACCTGTATAAATATATCAAGTGAAATAAGATCGTTTTATTATGTTGCTTATGTATGAAGAAAGCTTTTTACTACTACACATTTCCAGAATCAGAGGAAAAAGTTGTGTGAATATAAGTCACTATTTAGGTAGACAGACTTTGAACATTAATACAGATAAAATTCTTTCTGGTTCTTTTGAGAAGAATGAGCAAGACAAAGCCRAAGCAATYACAGCCAATAGTTACAGAATCGTYGAATGGCCTGGATTGGAAGGGACCCTAAAGAGTTCCCACTCCACTGCCACAAGCAGTGATATCTTCCACTAAACCAGGTCACTCAAATGCCCATCCAGCCTGGCCCTGAACACCTCCAAATGACAAGCCATTATTATGACTTAAGAAACCTATTGTTTTTCCCTTTCCAGCTTACCTCATGTATGTTTTTAAAAACCCATGACAACTTCATAGAAGTTTGATGTGTYGAAAAAGTAAGAAAACTGGGTGCCAAATATCGATCATTCCCAGTCAAGAAATGAAGCACTGTAAAAATAACATGGATTACCTGTTTCAAAAGAAAACAGTTACTTAATTTTTCATCTTGCCCTTTAAAGGTTACTGATCAATTATCTTTAAAGGATGACAACACACATGAAAGCTGCTGACATAAGATTAGATTCAGAAAGCYAAAACTCCTTTAGAGAATCCTTCCGTGGGATTATGTAAGGATCTTCATGTCAACAGCCAGCCTTCCTGCAATACTCACCACATGAAAGGGYAGCTGCTCTAAGCAGTTCTGCTTTAGCAAGCTCTGCTGGAGCACTGACAGACACTGCTTCGACCAAAACTGATCGCTCTGTGAGCACAGTGCATGATGTGCCTGACAGCATTACTTACTGTTATTCCAGGGGAAATTCTCCTCCAACTGACAGGCTCAATCATGATTTAACAGATTTAACAAAAGGTAATCATTAATCAAGTTTTCAAAACAGAAGCAAGTGGCAAACCCAAAAATTTATTTATTATTGTGACTGATTAGTTTCCACTTAAAGGAAAAGTAACTTTTGGTTTTGCACTTAGAGCAAATCTTTCTCTTTTAAAGGCATGAAGCATAAGCCACAAGCAGCATAAAATGTACATCCTATAGATAATCTGAGCAAAGGATACATGAAACAARCAAACCAAGAAACAAAAAGCCCAAAAAAAAGCYCAAACGAYTWCCAACCCAGACCCGCCCATRTGCAAAATCTACGCTGTAGCAGTGTTAACATACAATGTTTTMATATAATTGACTAAAAAGTAACAAAATGAGCCTTAGACCTACAGGTATCTTTTCCCATAACAATTACTTTAGGACATCACTACTGCACTTTTTTCTTGGCAATATCTTTCATGTTAATATTGCTCAGTTAGATGTTTTTAGGCCACAGCACATCACATCACCATGTGAACAGGATACTTGCAGCATTCCATATATTGCCCTTACTTATCATRAAAGTTAAACAGCCCTAATATATCCAAGCAGTATCTAGATTAGAACAGTTTTACCTTTAGCAGAAGGGACTTATTCCAGGAATTCACAAGTTGAGTGCTTCTTAAGTCTTGCCAACTTATAAAGTTATGAAAAGGTTTCCCAGTCCTCCTGAAAAACAGTATTTGAACATTTCCCTTTCAAAGCTAGAGAACACAGACTGCCCAAAACATTCAACATCATTCATMATTTCCAATCAGAACAATAAACACTATGTCAATCCCTATAAGCGCATATCCTCTTGGGGGATTTGAGGAATTACTAAATAACATCACAGMCATTTGGAGGGTCAGACTTCTCACCAGAATTAAAAAATACGTATGTATTCATCTCTTCCAATGTACTTAGAATAAAAAGGCCACACAGTCATAAATTGTTCTGAACTGTTGTAAGGTGTGGCTGTGCAAACAGAAGAGAACAGGAGTGACTTGACATTTTTTACTTTTGAATTCAACATTTCTACAGCTTGCTTCCATCCAGTCTCTGAATACAAATGAATATAAATTCATTTTAAGGAATATGCAATATACATACTTGTGCCATGTAATGAAAGTTCCTCTCTGTGCGGAGATGCCAAGACCAGCAATTTGCCTCATGTGAAGTCCTGCAGCTAAAAACCAAAAACAAACAATAACCACAAAAAAAGCATTCATTTGGAGAAACAAACAAAAATACAACTTCTTCAACGTAACCATAAAACCTATGGAATACTTAGGAAATTAATAGTTTATGAGAATATAAATCTCTTCGACTCATCCAACTAAATGTTTAGAGCAGTGAAATGTTACAGAGCTCTGAGTCAGACAACTGATTCCAAAGCAGATAAACAAATCTATGTATTTTCCAAAAGCAGTTGTGGCATATTGACCCTTTCCACCCCTGAAAAGCCTGTTGACACTTTACACAAACAAACTCAGAGACAGGGAGGCAGATAATATATGTCTACATAATCAATTAAAACATGCATTTCACACAGATGAACGTGAATGAAAACACCARCAGAAGTACCTTTACAGACTAATGGAAACAATTCCTATCAAAAAACAAAACTAGACTGATCCTGCAGACAGTAAATAGATAAATATGAAATATGCCATGATTTTTTACATCACTTTAGTAATGACATGTCTCACTTTAAATACTTCTTAAGAAATGGTTCAAGATTCCTAAGAAAAGATTTGCTTAAATCAGGTACCACTGAATGCAACAAAGTAGATTTCAAAGTCAGAAATACAAAAATGTACATTTTGGTATACACCCATTTTGCTGTTAATCATTACCTTCAAATAACTGTCACAGAACATTTTTTCTAATATAACTGTAAATAATWAAATATGTCCTCATCTATTTTCAAAGCAACTCTGGTCAGCTTGCTAACAACCTCCAGCCATACTTCCAGAGGCAAAATTACATGAAAAATTTTCACTTAATTGACAGACAACCTATCCCGTSCAAGGTACTGTTACTCTGAAGGGTTCTCAATCCAGCCACTTGAACAAAACAAAGGTTGAGTAGGTCTTGCTCATACATGATCTCATGTTAACTTTCATGTGCAAAGTTACTCATTTGTGAGCGTGTCCAGCAGATTCTACACCTGGCACCCTCTCAGTGACACCTACAGGAAGGGCACATCCTGCACTGCCCAACTCTACGTGTATTTCTGCACCTCCCCTTACACCTTACACTGAGACCTCACATTCCTGCCAGCAGCGCTATCAATTCCTCAATCAGCTGTAAATTAAACCAGTGCTTCCACAAGGCAACCTGCTCCAACTGCCTGACAAGTGCTGCTGGTAGTGGGAGCGTATGGAAGGAGGACGTGGGAGTGGGAGGCCTGAGAACAGCGCTATTTCTTTGTCAGGCGAAGCCATAAAAGCACTTCCACAGCTCACTAAGGACTACCAGCATGTGTTACTCCTTCCCACCTCCACAACCTGCACAGTCCCACCACTTTCCCTGTGTCAGCTACTATGCTCTCCAGACACCTACATAATTGGAGCTAACTTCCGTTACAGACAAAAATAAACCTAAAGACAAACACAGATATTTTTCAGTTGAGCTATCTTTTGGATGGAGTGTCACAGTAWGAGAGAAGGGTGGGACCATGTAGTCAGAAGTTTCCACCTTTAGTGGAAACTCAACTACAACAGCTCATCCCACACGCATGGAATCACGTTTAACTCCACAGGCCTGCAAACCCAAGTGTCACTGTGCTCCTGCTGCTACCAGACAGGCATTCCTGCCCCTGGTACCACACCCTCTCTTGCATCAGCACAAAYATTGGTGAAGCTTCACTTGCATAAACAATTGGTCAGTGATTCTGCTCAGGAAGCTGCCCTAGACTAGRAACACCTCTCTAAAAAGAAGGCTGGCACTGCTTTTTTTGACATCACTGTGAGTTATGCTTACTTACACAACCACTTAAAAATGACTTGCCAACAATGTGCGTAGCTCGGCCACAAGGAAAGCTTCCCCTTTTAAAACTAGCTGAAAAGTCTTGCTTCCTGATTTGCCCCACAGAATGGAAATGAAGGAAGGCAGTAAGGTCTTTGGGGGTTGAGGTGGCATTGCTATTCCTGTGACCAGTGGTGGCTGCTGACAAAACAAATCAAGAGCCYAAAATTATCAGCTTCAGCTTACACCTGGTGATGTTTACTTTCCTGTTCCTTAGGCAGCCTTCCAAAGGAAGGGAGAAGCAGTTTTGCCATGAACTGTTTGAAGGCAGAGCAACACYCAGACACCAAACTGCAAAATAGGCTCAACAGGGAATGAACTGAATGAAAGAGTGTGATGAACACACATAGGCCAAGGAGGCTGGGGAACTGTGGGAAGGTGAACTGGGGTCCAGTTGACAGGTTCACTGCATTAATGTGGCACAGAGGGGGATCCATGATGTATGGTACAACACTGGATCTGAATTAATGTAAAAGCTATGAGAGCTGTAGAGAAGAAGAGCTAGTTTACCGCAGCATCCAGAAAAGGTGGAGAGGTGAAACATCAGAAGTTTGGCAGAAAAGGCAGTTATATGTATATAGTATGTGGAGTACTAGGAATTTTTAGGCTTAAGTACAAATAGAAAAGAACAGTAATACAGCAATAGGACAGTAAGAAACATTTCTATTTAGAAAAGGAAAAGCAGGAATATCAGATTGCAATTGAGTAACCACAGCTCTGCAGCATCCTGTGCTCATTCTCTCACACACTCACACTTGCACATACAAAGTGGCAGCAGAACAATGGGACATTGGAAGGAGGACAAGCCTACTCTCTGTTCCTGCAGAGAGGCATCTGGAGGGAGACAGACACTTGGGAAGGATGCACATACAAAAAGCTGGAGCAACAAAGTGCTGGCACTGTTGCATAAATCAAGTACTCATACTGCTTCTGCTTCAATCGTAATCTGGCCYCCATGAAAGGAGAAAGATAACAGAAGTGCCCTGTTTTACATAATGATTGAACAGGGCTTAAAGCATGTTGTAGACTTGTGCCCAATGATGAATTTTCATTACCAGTGAAAATAGCTTTATTAYTCAAGTAACAGTTTTATAATTAAATAATAATTCAAATAATTTTGAAAAATAAATAATTAATTTCTTAAACCATAAGCCCTTACCTTGTACAGCCTCTTTTATTACACCAACAAATTGACTCCATAGCACTTCAGGACTTAATTCAACCCATCCAGGATGAGGATAAAGTGATTCCACCTGCTCAGGAAACACAAATAGCATTATTTTGATTGCTAGTTCACAGAAACCAGGAAATACATTCGGTTTTGTTTTCTTTTGTTCTTAATTTTGTGAATCTGTAAGAGAAGAAACAACAGTGTAACTTTCAAAACATTGTTAAACAATGTGTGATCTCTAAACCTTCTCTGTTCAGGGAAAATAAAAAAAGCTGAAACCCCTTTAAGAGATGCAAAAGGAAAGCAGGTGTCTTAGAAAGCCTTTTCTGCTTGACTGCTGAACACAGACGTTGATRCCTCTGAGCTTCTCAGTGGCAGCACAGCAGACCAGGAATCACCTGTCAGACGAGATCCAGCGACAGGGACGGTCAGCTCCACTGAGAGCACCCTCTTGCASCCCCAAAATCCATCAATTTTTTTACATTTCTCCTCGCTGCAAGCTTTTCATTGCAATACATAACAGTAAAAAACGTTAATTCTGGAAATTGCCTTGATCACGAGCCATATAATACAAAAGCAGCCTGAAATTCATCTTCCAAAGTTAGCACTTGTTCACACGGCGCTGTTACATGATGGGACGCGAGTAAACACAAGTTCTACGCAAGTTTCAGCTATGCTCTGCTAACAAAAGTGGTTTTGTTCAGAGAGGGATTAGTGGAAAAGCCACCGAAGCGAAGGTAACCGGGAAAGGCGGGCGGGAGGAGCGTGGAGGTAATGGGGTGAGTGTCAAGGCAGTMCCGCGGGGCTCGGGAGGCTGTGGGTTTCCTTTCACCCGTCGGGAGGTGCAGCCGCGCCTGTTCGCCCCTGCTCAGGGATACCCTCGCACCGGGACCAGCCGAGCTGGGTGAGCGCCTGCCCTGCCGAGCCCCGACAGGSAACTCCCGCAGCCTCCCGGGGGCCCACATGGCAGAACCGCTCGGGGCACAGCGAGCAGGCTCGGCCCCGCCCGGCTCCCGGGGCAGGTGCGGCCCCCGGCTGCTCTCGCCTCTCGGACTGGGACGCGCCCCTCAACCCGCCGCACTCACCTTCCTGCAGCTGGAGCCCCTGACGGCGGCCGTCCCGTCGTAGACGTGGCACTTCACCACCGTGCTGCCCACGTCCACTCCCAGCACGTACTGCGCCAGGGCGGCCCCGCTGTCGGGCTGCCCGCACGGCATCGCCCGGCGCGGCCCGGCGAGGAGCGCGGAGTGAGGGCGGCCGAGCGGCCGCGCCCGCCACAGCCCGCCGGGGGCGGGGCTCCTCCGGCCTATGGGCGCGGGCGGAGAGCGAGGCCGCCGAGCGGGCAGGTGGCGCCCGCCGGGGGAGGCAATCCAGGCCGCGGCCTGGGACCAGCGCGGGCGGGGCGGCCCCGCATCCCACCGACAGAGCAGCAACACCAAAGCAAAGCCCCGTGTTTCCTCTGTGAAACTTTTGCATAAATCTACGACATGCACGTAAAAGGCTTTTAGTTAAACACCAAATGTTAAGGTTTTTCTAAAAGGCTGAATTCAGCGAGCGCCCCTGGGAGAGATGCCCACGGTGCGATGCTGAGCCTCTGTGAACAGAGTGCCTGACCCCTCCTCCTTTCAGTAAACGAGGTAGGTTTGCTCCTCGGATTTGTCACTGAAGGCACTGAGCATCAGTGAACAAATTACACTAAGTCATGAGTGGAAGCAATTCTCTCGTGCCATCAGTTTGCTTCATAGAGGGAACAGCATCTAAAATTACTTTTGAAAAGAGTTAGTGACAGAAATGTTCCCGTATTGCCCTTAGATGTGGTAATTTTTAAACAGAAACAAGCRGAAATATTCACAGTAAACCAATAAAACTCAGAATGTTCAACCACAAACTAGTACCGCTATAATTTAGTTTTAACCCAGATTTAAACAGAGGAATTAGTCAATTAGTTTAAACTCATTTAATTAGAGCTGAAAAAGCAAAAACCACATTGAAACATTTCTTCCTTGCCCTTCTGGTTTGGTCCCTCTTACAAAAAACTGCACTATGAACAACAAAATAGTATTATGTGAGATAAGTCTGACATTACTGGATCTTTAAATCAGAAATACTAACAACAGTGAAAGCCACATTAAGAAGAGGCTTCTCACCTCACATGGGCAGTCGCAGAGGTCACTGGGACAAAGGTTTGGATCACGGGGAAGTGAAGGCACATGAAAGAGAGAGCCAAGGAACGACTGCTTTCCCTCTCCTCCCTAAGGAACAACACGTTAAAAAGTCACAATCACTTTGACTTTTATATTCTCTTTGACTATATAATGWCGAGCTATAATCTTTTGACACACAGCTAATAGATGTCAGGGAAAAATACCAAGTACTTCAGTATGTGATTAAGAGTAGTTTCCTTCAAAGTATTTATCAAAACTAACAGCATAATAATAATTATTTAAAACTTTTGATGAGAACTGCCTCAATAAGATTCAACATGTGTAACTGGCATAAAGGGCTAAAATCTCTCCAATCATTCAAAAATTAAAAAACCTTAAGAAAAAATGCATCCAGATATCCCCTGTGTTTTTACAGTATCAATAGAAGTGGGGCCTGTCTCACTGCAAGATTAAGCAAAACTTCAAAAAGAAAACAGATGCAGGTTGCTTTTTTCTTTCACAAGCTCTTAATGTAACAAATACATACCCTTCTGATTGCATGGAAATGACCATGTGAAGTTGATTCCTTCTTGCAGATCTAAAATTCTGTTTAATATGTTAACAAAGAATTTAGATGTGTGGAAAAAGATAATCTGAACAACTTGTGAAGTTTCAGTGCATATATAATCTTAGTTACATAGAGCATGTATTAAAATTGCCTAATTTATGAGAGGCTTATGAAATACAAATTTCAGATTACTGTTCTGTTTGTAATGCAATAAAGGAGGCAATGGGCTTTGAGACATGCATAATGTGTCCATACATGCCTTATCTGGCATTGGGTGATATTGTTTTGTCATAATTAATATCATTCCCACACAGGCACCTGTTGTCTGTCCAAACTTCTGTCAACCTCAGAGTAAAATCTTATAGCCTAAACCACTTCCCTGAGTCCTCCTGCTTGAGTGAGAACACACGGGTGCCCTGTCACTGCTCAGCAGCAGGGAGCTGGCACACCTGGGGTCACACACAAGTACCTCAGCAGCCGTGTCCTGTACTTCTGCATCTTCTCTGCTGAAATCCTCCGTTTCTTTGCTCTTTGAGAAGTGTGGCCGGTCTTATTTTTTACTGGACTGTCAAACCAAATGAAGGAGTGGAGGCACTGGAGGCACCTGTCCAATGCTGTAGCAAAGGAAAGAGTTATTAGGTCAAACCAGTCAAATGGCAGAACACCAGGGTCAAGAAGCTCCTACATTGCTGCCAGGGACAGCCAAACCCCCACAACCCCCACCTGAATTCACTAATTTATATCAAACATTTCTAAGCAATGTCATCACATGCAGCACATTTCAGTCAGCAAAAAATACACTTCAGAGAATGATGCCAAGCAAGAGGGGATAAGAGACTTTAAAAGACCTTAAAGAGGTCTTAAAGATCTTAAAAGAGATAAAAGAGATCGAACTATTAGACCTAGCAGACCAATTCCCAGAAAGAAAACACGATTTTGACTGTCTTGACATTTTCTAGAATCAGATTATTAAATAAAATTTCCAAATTAACTGTATTTTGAATAGCTAACTTAAAAAAAAAAAAAAAAAAAAAAGTATTCTCAGATGCATTTCAGTGTGACTGACACATTGGAGCATCTTCATTCCCCCAAGGTTTCCAGTATGAATCAAACTTGCCATTGGCACTGCTAACAGAATCCCAGACACTGAAATCTTGTACAGAAAGACTCAAAACTTATAATGCATGGGTTTTTTAAATTTATCTTCTCTTCTCAGCTGTTTTGGTCAAAATGCATGTATGCACCTACTGCCTCCTCAAACTGTGAGTAACTATTTTACTCACTTAGCTCTACCTTTTTAACAGGTTTTAACTTTATGAAAACATTGACCTGGGGCCCTTAGTTTGCACATAAACAAGAAAGAGCCTACTAATTTCTGTTGCTCCACTGGCTGGTGCGGCCCACATCCATCATTCATTAAATGCCTGAAAATTTAACAGATGGACCAAAATGAAAGTGATGATCTTAAGGCAAATGTTGCTGCAATAATTTACCATATGACCCTTTCTCATCAGTTCCTCCTGTACCCTTGACTGATTTCACCACTCTCGTCGAAGTCAACAGACAGAAGCACATACAATGACATCACTTGATAATAGATTTGTGGGTAATTGAGCTTTAGGCAGCCATGGGGTATTTCCTAAGCAGGTCCATTCTTGCTAAATCATCCCACCCTCACACTACAAATTGTACCAACCCAGCTGGTCTTGGGCTCCATGATGAACTATTAGACTGAAAAATAACATAGGGGAGAGTGCCAATTAGATTAATTCCTTGATAAGGTTCATAATGTAGCAACACAGTTTCGCGTGACCCAGAGGGAACATAAGAGACTGGTTAAGCCAGGATTTTCACAAGAGATTTGCACATCAAATCTAGGCCCACATGCATGAGGTTTTGCATTTTGCCTGAGGCACAAGTGGTCCTTCCTTTCTGCCAGCTCTAAAACAAGTAAACTTCAACAGGAAATGAGGTGGACTTTAGGACAATCAAGTTTCAAGCCAAGAATTTATCTACCACTGCAAGAAAACTGGTGTACTTACTCTGTTAATGTTTCATTATTTGCCCTTTATTTTTACTCCACTTAGGGAATATCTGCATTTGGAGAAGTGCAATGTGTAATAAGAAGATAATGACCATCATCCTCTGGATGTCTCTTAAGGAGTTGTGTGGACTGAAAATGACAGAACTATGAATTATTTAAAGAAAATGAGTGAGTTCCTCTCTCTTTCTCTATATCGATATGCGTGTGTGTGTGTGTGTGTGTGTGTGTGTGTACACATACATATAATAAATGGTCACGTGTACCTAGAAAATTCAGGGCTGAACAGCTCTTAAAAAAGGACATGTATTTCAAGTCAAGAAATTAAATGAAAAAAAATGTAGAAAGACACAAAAATGGCCACCAATGAAACTTAATTAGAACAAAAGAATGGATATATTAGAGGCTAAAGGGATGAAAATGCACTTAAGAACTATTGTTTCATTAAGACGTAGCCATTAAAAAAATTGCAAATACAGGACTAAGTGTGATTATCTATTTTCATAAGTAACAGCCAATGCAGTGATTACTGATGTTTTACCAGGGAAAAAAAAAGTTTTAATGAAAAATGCTTTTTCTGTCCTTTCAAATAATAGGAATCAGATTTACTGTTTGCCCTCTATGGTATTGTGACCATTCCTTTGATTTGTATCATATTTAAAAGCAGAAATGAAACAGGAAATGTGTAAATTATAGAAAAATAAGAGTAAACACCCCCTCAAAAATTGACAGCAATAAGGAACTGTTGTTGGAACCACGGATTCTTTTAATAAAGAACAGCTACTTACCTCATGGTATCAGATTCTTCAAAACATTTATCAGTTACAGTCTCAGTATTCATGGGTCCTCATGCACCTGAATTTGAATTCTTTTGGCCAAGAGTGTGTATTCAGACTGCCCTTATGCCCTTGATGTCACTGTGTCCCGTTTCCAGATACAGAAAGAGAAGAACATAACTGTTTCTCAGTAGTAAAGAAGGCTGATTATGGGACACATAAGGAGATCACATTGCAAATAAAAAGAATAAAAAAAATCCTTATTATAAGTAACAGTTTCTTCTTTGAGATTTCTCACCCTCAGGGTTCATCTATACMGTAGTTCAGATTAACTGAATTAAACTGAACAAAAGTCCTGTAATTTTTGAATGGGAGCATCCATTTAAGGTTTATTCTGCACTAACTGATGTATTTTCAAGTTATCCCTATATTAAATTTGACTGAATTTTCTTTAATTCTGTATATTGAGATGGCAGAACTTGCCATGAATGGTAACAGCAGTTAAAAGTTCATTGAGTAATCATCTGAAGACATTTTACAAAATGCAAGATTTTATCTTGGTATCTTCAAGTTGAGCAATGTGACCTGAATGTATACACCAACCAGACTTGCTCTGTATGAAACACCAAGTCGCATACTCAGTTACACAAAGCTGCAGCTGGTCATGCTAAGAGTGTACTCCATTCTCTATGCTGGTTGCTTTAAACAAGTTAATTTTCRCTAAAAGGTGTAAGAAAGA